GCAGGAAGAGTCCTGGGAAACGGGGCTGGGGGGGGGGAGGAAGAAGCAGTTCTGGAGGAGAGTTGATACCCAAGCTCTTCCTTCTTGTCCTCAGGTTGCGTCCACCCAGCTTGGCGGTGGACGCTCTTTCTTTCCAAAGTCACTTTGGGAATTTGGGAATGCTTGGCAGGCCCTGCCAGCAACTGGGGGCGGGGGGGGGCTTGTGAGGTTGTGGGCACCTGGCTGCTGCCGAAGCTGTTTCCCCAGATTGTCTTCTGCTGAAGCCGCTGTGGGGAGGGGGGCAATCCACTTTGGGAACCGCCAGCCCTTTCTGACCGCTGAACCCTCAAGGCAGACTCCATCCCACTTCAGGGGGTCTCTGGTGCAGCTGTGTGGGTCGCCCGTTAAGAGGAGGGGGGCAGAATCCTAGGGACAGGAATCCCTGGGGAGCCAGAGTCCACCAGAGCAGACCAAATCAGGATAGCTGGCTAGAGGGGAGGAGAGTGTCCTCATCACACTTCCGGGGTCCTCTCCTGCCTTAAGCATCCCCGTCTTGGAGCTAAACTGGAGTAGGGGAAAGTTTGGGGCGGGGCCCCAGAGGTCAAGGCGGGCCTAAGCCTGCAGCTTCCCTCTGCAGGAAGTCCTCAAGTTGTGACAAAAAAGAGAGCTCAGGTTTTCCAGGCAATTGTTAAGCTAGTTTGGCCCCGTTTCGCCGACCTTTCCCGCCACCGTTGTTAAGTGGATCTCTGCAGTTGTTAAGTGAATCGCACGATTGTTAAGGCTTCCCCACTGAAGGTCACAAAAGGGGGATCGCGTGACACACACACACCCCGGGGACGCCGCAACCGTCATAAATGTGAGCCGGTTGCCAAGCGGCTGAATTTTGATCCGGTGACCCTGGCGGGATCCTGCAACGGTTGTGTGAAAAGGAGTCCTAAGTCACTCTGAACGGTCGCTAAACGAACCGTTGTAAGTGGAGGACTACCTGTATCACGCAGGCAGGTTTCGTCCCGGTGAGAACCTTGGGTCCAGTTTGTCTTCACGAAAGCCTGCTTCGTGCTGACGGGGGCTCCAAGGGCGAAATACTCTGCCAGGCCAGGCTTTGAGATTTATTTATCCAGTTTATCAGCCGCCCATCTTATCCAAGGGAAAGTTTACCATATTAAATTGTGGGTTGTGTGTGTGTGTGTGTGTGTCGGGCTCTAACGTCTTGCCTCGCACAGAAGGCAGAGGCCACCGGGAGAAGCTGGAACTCGTGGCCTCCTTCTCCTTCTTCGGGAACATCATGTCCATGGCCAGCGTGCAGCTGGCAGGCGCCAAGAGGGACGCTCTCCTGCTCAGCTTCAAGGACGCCAAGGTCAGTTGTGGCTGTGTGTGTGTGTGTGTGTGTGTGTGAGACAGGGGAAAAAAAGAGGCCGTTGGGAGGCCTCTGCCTATAGAAGAGGGAGGGGGCAGCCCCCGGGGGGCAGCAGCTCTTGCTCAGAAGTAATGACACAGGGGCCATGGAGTCATTTCATTTATGTTGTTGTTGTTAATTGTGAAGTTGTGTCCGACCCATCGCGACCCCATGGACAACGTTCCTCCAGGCCTTCCTGTCCTCTGCCATCTTCTGGAGTCCATTGAAGCTCAGGCCTCCTGCTTCAGGGACTCCATCCAGCCCCCTCATTCTCCATCGTCCCCTTCTTCTTCTCTTGCCCTCCGTCTTTCCCAGCGTCAGGCTCTTCTCCAGGGAGTCCTTCCTTCTCATTAGGTGGCCAAAGTCCTTGAGTCTCCACTTCAGGATCTGGCCTTCTAAAGAGCAGTCGGGGTTGATCTCCTCCAGGACTGACCAGTTTGATCGCCTTGCAGTCCGGGGGACTCGCAGGAGTCTTCTCCAGCACCAGAGTTCAAAGGCCTCCATTCTTTGGCGCTCAGCCTTTCTTATGGTCCAACTTTCACAGCCATACATTGCAACTGGGAAAACCATGCCCCTGACTATACGTACTTTTGTTGGCAGGGTGATGTCTCTGCTTTTTAGTACGCTGTCTAGATTTGCCATCGCTTTCCTCCCCAGGAGCCAGCGTCTTTTAATTTCTTGGCTGCAGTCCCCATCTGTGGTGATCTTGGAGCCCAGGAAGATAAAACCTGTCACTACTTCCATTTCTTCCCCATCTGTTTGCCAGGAATTGAGAGGGCCGGATGCCATGATCTTGGTTTTCTTAATGTTGAGTTTTAAGCCAACTTTTGCACTCTCCTTCTTTACCTGCATCAAGAGGCTCTTTAGTTCCTCTTCACTTTCTGCCATTAGAGTGGTATCATCTGCATATCTTAGGTTGTTGATATGTCTCCCGGCAATCTTAATTCCAACTTTTGATTCATCTAGCCCTGCCTTTCTCATAATGGGCTCTGCATATAAGTTAAATAGGCAGGGCGACAGAATACAGCCTTGCCGGACTCCTTTCCCAATATTGAACCAATCAGTGGTTCCGTGTCCATTTCATTTATATTTTATTTTATTTTATTTTTATTCTA